AAAAAATTGCAAGAAAATTATTACATGTTAATGTAAATTTAGAAACATTTAGAATTAAAGTTGACTGGAGCTTCAGTTTATTTGTAGTTTATTGTAGAATTTTGAGCAGTTGAATATCTCTGGGGAAAAAATATACCCATATTTCCTAAGACTGATTCTGGTAAGTAATGAATGAGTTTTTTCTCTAATAGCCTCAGTCATATACAGTGAACGTTTCAGACTGTCATGTACATTTGTTTCAGCTTTCAATTTGGAAATGAATCAATATAGAAAAATTTAAGTAAAGGATTCTGTGCTGTACTATGCACTAGAAATGTAGATATTTATAATTACAGTTGAAGACCATCCTTATATGTGACCCTAATGGTTAATTATATAGGTAAATTAATGTATTCCATAGTCAGAGTTTTTGATAAATAGCAAATTAAAAGTGAATTAAATATTCCCTTCTTGAGTTTTAATTGACATAACATATCTTATATACAAAGTGAATTTAAGATTCTGCTATTGAGTTCATTTAGTTATATTTTTCCAATTCTTATGTTGTCATATGGCACTATATTTGCTTTTTAATCTTATAGTATTATTGTACCTTGTACTATACTTACATTATATTTTATAGTTGTTTCTTATATTGTGGATGTTAGGTACTTTGCCTTTCAATGTCACTCTGTTTCCATTATAATGATGTGAAATTTCTATTAATTTAATGAGGTTGATTTGGGTAAGCTATTGAAGGATGAAGAATGACAGTTTAAAAATAACAGGAAGGTAATGATTCCTTTGAAATTGTCTTTATTTTACAATAGTTGTATAAATCTTCTGATGTAGATTTCTAAACTTTAATGAGACCTTTTAAAATATTGATTGATGAAGTTAAATATTTTTCCTTTTTTCCCCCCAATAGATCAACTTTCTGAGATTACCTTAACATTGCTATTATTGTATATTAGAAGAAATTAAAGGTTATTGAAGGCATAATTGTGACAACTGTATTTTCTCATAAAGTATCATGGAATTGTACTTTTGAAATTAATTTTTTTTTATTACTACATCCAGCTTAACAACATTCATTCAGTATCTATAGAACAATCCTTGTCTTGGGGTGTGTGTGTGCGTGTGTGTGCGCGCGCATGCGCGCGCATGTTTGTGTGTGTGTGTGTGTGTGTGTGGTGTTGGACCAAATGATATGTAATCATTTATTGACAGCTTATTAATCTAAAACCATGAAAGGAACATTGGTTTACATAGAAATATACAGCTTGTTATCACACCTTCAGTCAATAATTTAGATATATTTTGGATAAATTTTAGGGATCTGAATTAATTTCACAAAATATATAAAAACTGTGGCATTTTAGCTTAAACCTTATGATCGCATACCTGGAGTATAGCTGACAAATTATTGCTTTGTAAAATGAATTATGTGAATCACAGAAGCTTTAAACTTTTTCTTTTTATAGCCCTACCTGAACCCATCCTTCCATCCATCCAAAAAATTTACCCAGTAAGTGTTTCTTATAAATTACTTAATAAATACTATTACAAAGTATATGTGGAACTATTTTATATAGTATTAATGTGAATATGAAAGTAGTAATAGTTACCTTCTAGTTATATGATAACATTTTCTATATAGGCTCAAGCCTTGACCCCTAGAATATAAAAGATGTTTCATATACCTTTCAGAAGACTGTGATAATTTATTTGGTTATTGGCATATAATTGGTCATTTATGTTAATAGTGGAATTTTTTGCATGTTGCTCATGATTATCAATAATGGAAATTTAGTATGCTTATTTGGTTTAGGTCCATTTAGTTTTCCAGTTTTTTTCATGTTATTTTAAAATACAGTTTCACTGCATTTCTTTAGTTAGTAATGTGGAAATTTTTCAGCCCAGTGTTTAAATACTTGGAAAAGGGGAAAAAGTTAAGTGAAAGAATTGGATGTTACTTTTTTTTTCTTGATTTTAATACACCAAAAGAAGTAAATTAGTGAACTATCCTTATAAGGATAATAATATTAGGAAATCTGAAAATAATGAAAACATTCAAGAAATGAATTGTGCCTACAAGAAAAAATTTAGTTTCTGTTTAGAGGAACCTAGGTAGTATACACGTTCATAATTTATATGAATTTTAAAATAGTTTTTGTGTTCTTTTTTCTAGAACTGTTTCCTTGTTTTTTAAGTCCTACCATTTCTGTGTTCTTACATCCTTCTTGTCATCCTTGTTCCTGGATTTGTTTAGTTTATTCCTTGTTCAGAATGCTTGATCTACCTTTTGAAACCACATAATTTTTATGTTTTCTTGAACCTGTAAGAATATTTTCTAAACTTACTAAATGATTTCATTACAGAGGAAAATGTAATATCCAACTTGATCAATGACTTTCAAAGAACACTTATTTTTATATATCACACAAGATAAAATAAATATGCTTGCCATGGAGCTTAAATATAATTTTAATCTTTGATAACAACTGATGTTACTATTCCTGAACATCAGTGGTTATTGTTAATGCACATATACGAAGTGCGGGTTGATAAAACTTTCGCTGTAGTAGAGTTTGATTGGAATAAGGACTTTACAGCTTTTCTACAAGAAAAATTTGTAACAAAAACCTTTGGAATCTGTATATCTTACATTCTTCCTTTTAAAAATTAATTTCTGTTATTATGGACAAATATTGTAATAACTTTATAAAATAGCCAGGAATAAATATGCTTACTTTCTTAAACAATGCATCAGAAAGTACAAAAATAAAAATAACTTGAACTTTTGAGCCTTTTTGTTGAATGTTTTTCTTGACTATAAAGTATTAATTCCTTACCTCATATTGAAAGGTCAAATATAATGTTTGGGTGTTTACTATTTCATTTTATTGTCACAACTTTTATTTTCCTTTGAGACCTAGTTTTTGGTGTAGAAAGAGCTGCATATTTTTTTTCACCATATGAAGGAAGGATCTAGTAGTTAAAAGTAGTCTTTAAAGAGCTTTTGTCGTGTATTAAAAATATGCTTCTGCAGAAATCTTACTTAAAACTCTGCTATATGACATTGTTTTTAGTAGTATAAAATACTGATGAAATTTAATGCACGATCTGGGGCCACAGGTAATTGGTTTTTGTAATATATACCCAGGTTGCTGCCAGTATATTCTAGTTTGTAGAACTTCATTTTTTACTTCTGTATTTTCAGTTTTTTTTAGCTTGTCCTCATGACAGAGTCCTTTATGGCATGTCCTATACTCACCACCCTTGTTTTCCTAATTCTTATTTCGGTACCTGTTATGGGGTAATAGACTAATACTAGCTCTTCCTCAAGGCCTAAAAAATACTGATAGCAAGACCTGTTACAGTTAAGAATATCTTAATTTGCTTTCTGATGTGATTACATTGTCATAAATATTTAAGCCTGGTATTTTCTTTATTATGAGATGATCTATATGGAGAAGGACTTTCTAGCCCCTCCAAATTGCATTCTTTTGTTTTAATGAAATTTATAAGCTCATCACCAGAGGCCTTCTTTCATTGGACAATTTGATAGAAAAACAAGTCAGTTTGTCTCTTATGACTAATAATGACTATAATTTATTTAGTATCTATTTTAGGTCAACATACTTTAAATTTTATGCAGTTTCTTTAATCCTAAACTAAGAAGCATGTAAGGTATTATTCTTCTTTGACAGGCGAAATTATAATTAAGTTTTAGGTTACATTGTTCTAAGCAGTATACAAATTAGGATTCAGAAACTTTTCCTATTACTTTCTGCCACTTGACAGAAAAACAATTCACTACCATTTCATCTCATCTAATCATGTTGCATACTATATCTTTATTTGTGTATATCTGATTGTTCCTATACAGATAAATCTTTATAAGAAAAGCAGCAGATGAGATAAAATTTCAGCTTGTATGATTTTGAGACTGATTTAAAATTTCATAGTAATTAAAAAAAACGTTATTTTGCAAGGAAACAAGTTTTCATTTTTTCTGGTTAAAATAGAACTTAAAAAGTGAGAATTTGGGAATGGAATAAAATGTGTTCAATACAGAATGCTCTTTTTAGTCTTTCATATTTTCTTAAAAATTATTACAATATTTTAATTTTGAACTATGGAAGAAAGACTTAATATCTATATTCAAAAGCTTTATACATTTACAGCATTATTACAACTTAATTCTTACTTAAAACAACATTTGGTAGAAGGCAGAGTATTTACTATGAGTTAAAAAGATGAAAAGTTGAGAATATTCAGTATGTAAACTCAAGTTTATGAATGTCTTTTTAATAATAATATGAAAAGGTCTTTTATGTAATAATATGCAAACATATTATTGGATTTATTGTTAGGTAGATGTACAGAACAACTTATTTGTTTCCTTCCCCAATGATAATCTTCATATAATAGGAAGTTGATTATGTTAACAGATCAGAAACTGAAAAAGCCCTCTTTTTTGTGGTTATAAAATAAACAATTCTGAGAATATAGAGTTACTGTGTATGGTTTATTCACAATATCTAAAATTTTACATATATACTCAAACATATAGCAATTTTTTCAGTTTTAAAATGCACACATTACAATTTTAAGATAAATGCATACTGTGAAGGATTTACTTACTAAAATTTTTAGTAAACACAAATTAAAAATTTTTGTTAAGTTTTAAATGACAAAATTTTTTAAAGTGACAAAATTTTTAAAGTTGACAAAACTTAAATCATAATTTTTAAAATAATACTTGCATTGTTGTATAAATGTACAGTTATAATGATGACTGTCGTATACTAAATAAATAGATAAAACTGTTGCTGTATATGCTTTACATATATATTTAATCCTTTTAACAACCCTATGAGTAATATTATTTTCTGCATAGATGAAGAAGCTGAACCTTTGGAAAGCTAGGTAACTTGGGTAAGTTCATATAGCTAATAGAAGAGCAAGGTTTCAAATCTAGTATGATTCCAAAGTTCATGCTTGTTAACTATTTCATTATAGAATTAATACTTTATGTCAGATACTTAACGTTGACATCAAAACTTTTAAAACATCACTAAAATCAGGTTTGATTTAAAGGAAATATAATCGTCAGTCTTTGTAACACACATTAGTAGTGATGTACACAATTAAGAAAGCTTATTATGCAGGCCAAACTTGGAATCTGGCAAAAAAAAAATCTTTGCCATTATGATAGGCAATTGATTGGGCAAAAGCAATGAGACTTTTCATATGGTTTTCATGGAACTGCCTATTTACATTTTTCTAAACTTGGCATTGATTGAAGAAAATGAAAGATGTTATCTTCAGAAGTACCAGCATTTAAACATCATTTGGATAATATTTTTAGGGGTTAAGTCATCACATACTCTGTTCTTAGTAATTACAAATAAGCTAAAACCTTCAAAAGTTAAAATAATAAAGCTGTCTTCTTTACATTAAAGAAACAACAATACATACAGCAGTGCTAGTAACAACCCTCCCCATCCCCCATGCTTTGAGAGAGAGATGTTACCTTAGATTAGTTAAATTGTTTTTCCATGGATATAGGTTGTAATTATAAGGCTTTCTCCCCCACCTTCCGCCGTTAGTTTTTGGATTGCTCTTTATTTGCTTTTAGCTTTAAGGTTTGTCCACCCCCATTCTGTCTGAAGTAGGGTATATTTTGTTCTTAAATAAATAAGTGCAATGGAGAATTCCCTAGAAGATAAATTCTATGTAGAAATTTTTCTTATAGGAGAACATTTTTCTGTAATTTGAAGATTACCATAGATGAAGATTTAAGGTTAAGTAATTCCTATCTATTTGAAGCTTATTATAGTTGTACCCTAATAGTTTTTGTTTGGATTGCCCCTCCAGTTTTTCCTCATTATATAACATCATCCTTTTTGTATGTGACCATGAAAAAGAACAGTGGAGCTAAGAAAGTTGGCCAAATTGTTGATTCAAGGTCATTTAGGATTTTAGTGGCGTAGGTCTCACAAGTCTTCAGATTTCGGATTACAATTGCTATTTTTTTTTTTTAATCATAAAACAACAACAACAAAAAAATCATTTCACAGGAGGTTCAAACAGTTTTTAACTTTAGGTAAGAACTGGTGTTGGTTTTAACATCAGTTCATAAATGTAATGCTTGTGCCAAGTGTTAGAAATCGAGGTTAGAAAGAGACTTTCAGAGTCAATTAGCTATTAAATAGTGAACCACTTTTCTCTTTTCTTGTCTTGTCATTTGGACTTATATTTTCATAGTTAATTTGCCAGAAAATAATACTTAAAACTTCCGATTTTAAACAGTTTATTCTAACTCCTATTTTACACTTAACAAATAAGAGACAAAGGGTGTTGCAGGCAACAAACTTGCTCTTCCTTCTACTTCTGCTCTTTGTTATAAATTGAGGCATCTATTTCTCCCACTTCCCTCAGTATTACAGACCATTAAGGTTTCTACTTAATGCTAAATCTGTTAGAAATGTAAGGGAAAGTCTCAGGTTTAGAAGTTTCAGCTTTATGGATTGTGGTTGGAGTAGAATTTTGCCTCTGAGAAAAGGTAATTATTTAAAAATCATTAATAGTTTTGTAGTGAATGGGATAGGGGAAAGGATATTTCTAGTTTTCTTTCTCTTTTATAGTTAGCTAATGAACTTTGATAATCTTCCATTAAATAAATATGCTATCCTATTAATGTTCCCACTTATTTGGAAAGCCTCTACTTTCTTTAATGTTGGGTTTAGACATTACCATTTGAGTTACAATCTGTAAACTCAAGGACCCTTTTGCGTAGTTGATATTTTGCTTCCTTAACCAGTCACTTTAAAAAAAAAAACTTTTCTACTCTTGGCAAAGGAGATATAGAAAATCTGTCTTGAGGACTCTGCAAATTATCATAGAAAGATTATTTTCTAATATATGGCTATATATTGTTGAAAATCTATAGTTGCATTTAGTATATTTTAGAGCCAGAATTTGTTGCTAGCATAGGAAAGATCAGACATGAAAATGAATAGCATATAGAAAAAATTCTTGATAGGTTGTTAGTCAAAAAAATACTAATAACAATTAGTATTCTTTCTAATAAATGTCTTTTTTGGGGCCTGAATTGCAAGCAAATGCTATCTTTATGAATATTGTGGTAAAAGTTTGCTAACTATTGCTTCTTTTCAATGCCCTCTTTGTCTAAGTTCACTTCATGTTGAATATCTATCTACTCTCATCTAAGATACACAGAAAAAATAAAATGAAAATTGAAAAATCTTAAAGTCAGTATATCACTCATATATTAGCACTACTTTTATGACCTTTGAGAAGGAGTTTTAAGTGGCAATTAGAGAAGGATTTTACCTGTGTTTGATAAAGTACAACTTCTCCTTGAACAAATAAGTAAATACATTTATAAAGAGATCTGTTAGAAAAAATCTTGGTTTGTATATTAAGGTTTTTTTTTTCTTGAGTTAGAAAATTTTTTGCTGCCATGATATCTATTTGGTTAACTGAGCAATCATTGTAACTTAACCAACTATTAGAGTATCATAGTTTTTCAGGTACTTTTTTGACTTTCTCCAAACGTGGCTAAAATCGTTAGTGGAAGAAAAATCTTAAAATTTCCAACATAAAAAAAAAGTCTCATTTCTTCGTAAAGCATTAGGTCAGTACTCATAGTTTTTTAGTGTATGTTTTATATGGCTTTACATTTCCCCTTCCTTTTTTCTTGACAGGAATCTTTTAGTCCTGCTGTACAGTTGCACCTTGTACATCAAACCCCATGCAGTGTTCCTCCTTACCTCTCAAAAAATGAATCAAATCTTGGAGACCTCTTGCTGGGCTTTCTGAAATATTATGCTACAGAATTTGAGTAAGTGAACCTTTAAATTGTGTTTATTCCATAATATGTAAGTGAATGCTACAAATTCAGTCAGCAGCTATGTCAATATTAATGCTGTAAAATTGCCCAAAAAATATGTATTCTATAACATTCTTTAGTGATTAGTAACAATGAAATAGATTTAATATTCATGCTAATAAAAAAAAGTATAGTTCAGTTAAGCTGGTGATGTTACTGTATGTGTAGCTGCCTCTTCCCATAGTTGGGCTTAAATAAATGTTTGTGTTAGTCCTATCTAGGTTCTGTGTAGTTTGGAATATCTATTTTCTAGGAACTTAGAATTTGTAGTAAAAAACACAGCTATGATACTTACGGAAATATCTCCTTAATTCTTTATATTTGAATATAGTGGTGTTAGTATGATATACTATAGTCAAAAGCTATTCCCTTTTTATTTCTGAGGGTGATGTGTTATTTTAAGCAGTAAGTGTATAATTAGACTGGCCATAACTGGAAATTCTTATGGATTCTTAGATAAGTGGAACTAGGGGTTATTTGCAGCTCTTGATAAATTTGGAAAAACTTGAAGGCATGAGAAAGAAAGTGGACTTAGGAGTTGTACGGAGTTATAAGAGAAAGGTATGGTGATTATAGGCCTATACTTTGAAGAGTTTTGTAGAACACAATAATGACAGTAGTAATAAATTGCTATTACTAGGTGGGAAAACTATTCTAAGCAAATTATATGTATTCTTTTACTATTTTACATAATAGCCATAA